TGGCTGGGATGGGCAGGTTCCTGCATCACAGTTGGCCGGGATGGGCAGGTTCCTGCATCACGATTGGCCGGGATGGGCAGGTTCCTGCATCACGATTGGCTGGGATGAATTAGGTTCCTACATCCTGGGCTCTCACTGTTAAACTGGCACTGTCCTGAGCAAAGGAGGATGAGTCAGTCTCCCCACCCAGGAGCCAGGGCAGAGGAGCGCTAAGGCCGTGCACAGAGGGTGGAGGAGTCACACTGGATGCTAACACATCACCCATGTGCTTTCTTACGTCCTCACCACAGCCACGCCCGGCACGGTCACGTCCAGGTCGCTGATGAGTACTGACGCGCAGATTAGATAACCTGCCATGTGCATACGTAGGGGTCATAGAGCTGGGATGTGAATGTAGGTTTTGAAATAGGGGTTCCCAGACCAGTACCTACATGGGGCGGGGTTCCCCACTCCTCCAGCAAGCCGTTCTCCCACACCAGCTGGGGGACAAATCCCCCCTCAGTCCTGACATGCTCACCCGCAGGCAGCGTCAGAGCCGCAGGGGAGGGCTGTCCTGCAAGACCCACTTCCGACGCCAGGGCCAGGCCTGAGCTGCTGACCCACTGGGTGCAGACGGAGGTTCCCGTGCCCCTCCCGCTCAGTGCCAGTCCCTGGCCTGGGCTGGTACCTGGTCTTCTGACCGACTGGCCATAACCAGGGGTTCCCTTCATCTCCTTGGGTTCCGTTGACTTGCCAGAGCATTTGCAGACTCAGAGGAACATGTTGTTTCCTGACCCCAGGTCACTGTGAGACACTGGCACTAGGAACAGCCAGAGGCATTGGTGCCAGGACAGGGTGTGGGGGAGGGCAGGAGCTTCCAAACCGTCTCTCACCTCCTCACACCTCCACACGCTCACCACCCCCAGCCTTGAACCCTCGTGTTTCCATGGAGGTTTGTCACCTGCACGTGACTGATGAGCTCGCTGACCACTGGAGACCCAGTCAACTCCCTGGGGGTGGGCAGGGGTGGGTCTAGAAGCTCCATCCCTCCAACCCCAGTTCCCCTGGCAACCAGCCCCACCTCAGGTCCCTTAGACACAACCGAGAACCTTGATCCCTGTCACCACTTGGGAAACTCCCAGGGTTTCCAGGGCGTGAGCAGGAATTCTGGGCGGGACCAAATATGTGTGACAGACAGACTGTGGCCATCTGAGTGACCACACACATGATACCTTACAAGACTGCAGGTTTCTGTTTGGAAAGACATTAAGCCCGAGAGCCTACTTCCTTGCAGGAGTTTAAACCAAATTATTCCCAAGGAAAGCTCCTAAGTCTACAGTTATAGGTTCCAAATCACTGTTTCCCAAAGCGTGTTCCATGACATGCTGCCTCTGTGCAGAGCAGGGGACACTAAGAAGGCTTGTGTGGAAAATACAGTTATACCAGGCTTCTCCACTCACAGCCACGGGGCCTTTGAATACACGGACTGGCACCACGAAGCCTTGTTTCCTGGAGCGCGTGGTCCTTGGGCTCTTTGAAGTGCATTTTAGAAAACAGTCCATGTGCGTCCGTGCTTCCTGTGGCTCCGTCTAACTTCCGGATCTGTGTTCAGGTTTGAGTGTGAAAAGCTGGTTCTCGTTGGGGATCCCAAGCAGCTTCCCCCCACGATCCAGGGATCGGAGGCGGCTCACGGGAACGGGCTGGAGCAGACTCTGTTCGATCGACTCTGCTTGATGGTAGGCGCTGCCGCCAGACCTGGGCTGACCGCGTCCGGTCACACCTTGTGGCCGATGGGAAATGACACTGTTAGGAGACCGAGCCCTGCCCCAAAGGAACTGCGATTGGACTTGTTTAGAAAGCACTCACCTCGCCCACCTCTGAACCAGGAGGTCCCGGTTCCATCCCCATCAGGGCACAGGCCAGGGTTTCAGGCTCAATCCCCAGTGGGGGGCGGGCAGGAGGCAGCCGATCCATGATTCTCTCTTATCATGGATGCTTCTATCTCTCCCTCTCCCTTCCTCTCTGAAATCAATACAAATATATATAAAAATAAAGGGAGCACTCATCTTAAAGATAAGCAGAACCCCACGATCTAAGTGTTCCTTTATAAAATGAGCCTTTTTCCTGTGTGTTTAGTAGGAAGAAAGTATAAAGCTTTTGTTCTGAAATAAAAGTAAACACCTATGATCTATTACCCATGCCCCATTTTAGAGCTCTATTTTACATTAAAAATGTAAAAAGTTAATCATTAATCTGTTTGTAACTGAGGTGACGTTCACATAACATAGACTTAGCCACCGCAATGTAAGGGGCCGTCACTATACTCCTTGTCCTGTCTGGTCCCAAACACATTCCGCCTCCCGCCTCCTTCCTGCCCGGCCCCCACGTCCGCTCTGTCTGTGGACATGCTCACCACCCTCACACCAGGTAGCTCCAACCACACACGGGTGCCTCCTGGGTCTGGCTTCTTCCACTCGGCACGTCCTGGAGGCCCCTCCACATTGTAGCACGTGTCCGTACTGTTCCATGCTGGTCGCCCTTATCCAAGAGGCATGCCCAGACCCCAGGGAGGCCTGCAGCTGCGACAGGAGCCCCATGTACACTGTTTGTTCCTGCACACGCCCGCGCTTTATGGCTCCTCTGGCATCTTCAGGTGGCCAGCATCTTGTGCTTTGGGGCCATTGTTAGGAAAACGGGGTGACGTGAACACAAGCCCGTGACACCGACAGCCCATCGGGTACCAGGCGGACTGACTGGTGGGCGGGCGGTGTCGGCAGGGGGACCTGCTGGGCGAAGGGATGGGTCATGGCGGGCGGGGAGGTCCAGGCGAAGGTTTCCTCACCCTGCTTGTTAGATCATGAGTGAAGGTTTGACAGTTTAATACTTTGATTCTGTGGTGTGTGGTCATTTACCAGGAGAATAGTTTTAGTCATTAAGCAATTTACTCTTGTGTTTCTAATTCATGTAGTCAGAGCACAATACGGCAATACTTCCGACTTTTAAAATACCTTTTTTTCCCCTAAAAAAGTGCTGCTTCAGGTTCTTACTTTTCCTCGTTTAAACCTCTCAGGGCCACAAGCCAGCTCTGCTGAGGACCCAGTACCGCTGCCACCCGGCCATCGCCGCTGTGGCTGACGACCTGTTTTACGGCGGCGGCCTGCGGAACGGTGTCTCGGAGGCCCAGAGGGGCCCGCTGCTCGCCTGGCTGCCCACCCTGTGCTTCTACCACGTCCCGGGGCAGGAGCAGGCGAGTGCCGGCCGGCCCAGCCCCGTCCTGTTCTCTGTGGTGTGTGGTGCCATGCTCTCGTCCTCCTCGCCTTTCTGGGAAATGTGATTCCGGGTCTGTTTTTCGTTCCAGATGGAAGGAGGGAACAGCTTCCATAATGAGGCGGAGGCCGCCTTCACCCTGATGCTGATTCGAGCTCTGGTTGCAGGTGGAATCCCAGGCACCATGATCGGGGTGATAACGCTGTACAAGGCCCAGCTGGGCAAGGTTTGTGCCCACCGCGTGCAAATGCTGTCATTTCCTATCACAGCGCTTGATGTTATATTTGTAAGGGTTTGACTGGGTGCTTTAAAACCTGTTGGGACCATAATCAATGCATTCAGAAAGAAGCATTCTGAGTTTTGTCTGTCTGGCTTTTTTTCTGCATAATTAAATGTAAACTTAACAAGGTTTAATGAAATTCCGTTTACAGCTGTTGGGGCAAAAATGCAAATAAACAAATTAGAGGGAAGGACATGTGGTGTGTGCTTTGTGTTTTGGGACAGATGGGATTGGATCTCTGTTTTCCAAACTGTTCTCTCATTATTACCTTTTATCAGTAAATAAAAATAGACACCAGATTCTCATGTACATATAAGTCCATGACATAACATTTTTGTTAATTTTTAACTTTTTAGTATTAGTTTATCAACCCTAAGTTAGCATATTCAAATGAGCCCCCTCAATAGATGAACCGTTATTCGTTGTTTCACGATGGATGTTGTCACCTAGTTGCGCACGTGCTGTAGAACCCGGCAGAGCCGTGCGCGTCACAGAAGACAGCGGCCTTTCCCCTCCGGTGAAGACGCGCTGGGAGGGCTCGGCCGCTTCCCTGCCGCCCCTGCCTGCATGACCCGTCTCTCCCCACAGCTGTGCCACCTGCTCGGGACCGTGGACCTGGACCGCCCGCAGCTTGCGGCCGTGCAGGTGTCCACCGTGGATGCCTTCCAGGGGGCCGAGAAGGAGGTGGTCGTGCTGTCCTGCGTGCGCACCAGGCAGGTGGGCTTCATCGACTCAGAGCAGCGCGTGAACGTGGCCCTGACCCGCGGGAGGCGGCACCTGCTGATCGTGGGGCACCTGGACTGTCTGCGGAGGAGCCGGCTGTGGGGCCGCGTGATCCAGCACTGCCAAGGTAGGGGCCGCCGAGGTGGGCGCCACCGAGGTGGGCTGCCGAGGTGGGGCTGCCAAGGTAGGGGCCGCCGAGGTGGGCACCGCCAAGGTGGGCACTGCCAAGGTAGGCTGCCGAGGTGGGCGCTGCCGAGGTGGGCGCTGCGCCGCGAAGGTGCCGGGACGGGGGTCACCTGAGCTCTTGGATGGAGACCGGGCCTCGGGGTTGGTGCTGGCGGGTTGTGGGGAGCAGAGCACCTACCATGCGGGAGCGGCTGTGGCTGAGGCTGCCGTCACCTGCCTCCCCTGTCCCTGTAGGCAGGGAGGACGGGCTGCAGCAGGCCAGCCAGTGTGAGCCGCGGCTGCGGCGGCTCCTGGAGGAGCACGCGGAGAAACTCGCGGGAGAAAAGCAGAAGAAAGCCAGTGGGAGAGACGGATGTGAAGATGCGTCTCCTTCGCCAGGGAACGGGCCTGTGTAGGGCCTCAGTGTCCGGGACGCTGGCCCGCCTCGCGCTCACGTGCCGTTTTATTCCCCCAAACCCGTTCTCACAGAAGACGCAGGCTACTTAAGTCACACTAGATAGATGCACATAGATACTCTTCAAAAGTACACGTTACTGAGGCTGAGATAAGATGCTGAAGGTGATAGGAAAGCTTATAATAAAAATTTTTCTAAGAATTTGCTTAAAAAATAAGTGTTACACAGGGCAGGGGAAGCCTTCAGGGCTTTTCAATGTTGCTTCGGAAGTGAGCGAATCTCTCAGGCTCACCTGTTAGAACACATCCCTGGTTCTGCCAGCACCCTCCCGGGTGACACTCGGCCAGCCTGACCCGTCGCCTGCCACGCGGTCAGCAAGCAGGGCTCTCGACGAAGCTTGTCTGTCCCCGAGGAGAAGCGCCCAGGCTGGGCCATGCGCGTCCCTGGGGCGGACAGTAAGGGAGGAGCGAATGGCTGCCTTGGGTTCACTTCCTCTAGCCTTTCCCTCAGCATGTATTTGCCCAATAGTTACTGGTGTAGATGGTATATAATGGATTTTAAAAATATTTATTATAGAAATTCATCTGCTTGTAGAACACCATTGCTGACTTGGTGCCTCCACCCTTTTCTGTGCTTGTGTTCTGTGTGTGTGTGTGAGTGTGTGTGTGTGAGTGTGTGTGTGAGTGAGAGTGTGAGTGTGTGTGTGTGTGTGAGTGTGTGTGTGTGAGAGAGAGAGAGAGAGAGAGAGAGAGAGAGAGAGAGAGAGAGAGAGAGAGAGAGAGAGTAGAGAGGGAAAGTATATACA